GAGAATTTAAGAGATTGACTCACATGATTGAAGAGGCTTAGTGAGTCTAAAATCTGATGGGCTGACTGGAGACTCAGAAGACTTGCAGTCCAAGTCTAAAAGCAATCTGCTGGCAGAATTTCTTCTTGCTCAGAGGAGGTCAGTCTTTGTTCTATTAGGTCTTCAACTGATTGAAAGGGGCCCACCCACATTGTGGAGTATAATCTGCTTTACTAAAAGTCCACTAATTTAAATGTTAATATTATCCATAAAACACATCCTGAGTAATGCTTGACAAAACATCTGGCCACTGTGTCCCAGCCAAGTTGACAATAAAATTAACCATCCTCATGGATAAGTTGGTCAGTGTGGGAAACAAGGACACCTGGATTTTCTTTATTTTTTATTTTATTGTTTAAAGTATTACAAATAGTAGTATATATGTCTCCTTTTTATTCCCCATTGATCTCCCCCAGCCTCCCCTACCCACCAGCATATGCCCTCACCCACCCCCAAGCACAGTGTCTTGTGTCCATTGGTTATGCTTATATGCATGCATACAAGTCCTAGAGGTTAATCTCTTACCCCCTCACCCCCTGCCTTCTCACTGTAGTTTGACAGTCTGTTCAATGCTTCTTTGCCTCTGTATCTATTTTTGTTCATCAGTTTATAATGTTCTTTATATTCCACAAATGAGTGAGATCATATGGTATTTATCTTTCGCTGACTGGCTTATTTCGCTTAGCAAACTGTAATTTTTATGTTGTGTCACACGCATGCCCATGTGTACCTAACTAAAATCTGCTCTTTGTCTTCTGTTCTCTTCCCTTTCTTTCCATTCTATCATACCATAGAATGTCCCATTCCATTCTTTAGTTAGTTTTTGAAAATGTTCATTATTACCAAGTAATTGGATTTATTTGCCAGTAATGGGTCAATTTACAAACAATGAATATATAATTGGATTTATTTGCCAGTAATGGGTCAATTTACAAACAATGAATATATAATTTACAGGTGTGCACATGCACGTGTGTGGTAAATCAAGGAGGAGGCTGACAGGACAGTGAACAGAGAGCACAATTCAGACCTTGAAATGATCCGTAAAGCAAGAGAATGAGGAGATTGTGACAATGCCAGCAGCCCTGCCTCCCTTCCCCAAGTGCCGCACACACGCTCAAAGTTCACAGAAATCTTGCGGAGAGCTTTGATCTTTCATTGGGTATGAAATTAGGGATCTGATCATCTGCATTAATATGGATCTAAAGGGTCATGGAGGCCTTCTGATTACCTGTGTTACTAAAGCCATTTTCCATACCTTTAAACTTCTATAACACCTCAGGCGGTTCTGGTAGTGCCTATCCACTTATATTTTATACTATAGAAACTGTGTACTTATCTACTAATAGGCTATAATCTATTTTTGGTCAGAGATTATGTCTTACATACAATTTTTGTGTCCCATATCAAATAGCACAGTACTTATACAGTGTAATAACAAATATGTGCTTTTTCTTATTTTATGTACACAAAACTTATTACTACTAACCATAACAACATTGACTTGTTATTAGTTATTAAACTTTGTGAAATTTCCTAACCATTTCTCCATGTTTTAGACATTCCAAACATATAACTTAAATGCCCACTTAAGATGCATAATGTTACGTATATCACGAAATAATCAACATCAATGCCCAAGTGACTGTGCGGATTTTTGCTGAACATATTAAAAAACAATGGCTCCAGATAAGCAATGAAAGGTGAAGTAGGCCTACAGACCCTAGTTCAGCAACAGAATGAATTGGCCACACTAGCGTAAGCCTTAAGGCCCCTGAAGATGACTAATAATGTCAATCACGTCTACCCTATTACCTGGTCTATGGTCAAGTTTAAGAGTTCAGAGGAGTCTGAGGCAGCAGCAAGACTACCCTAGAGATTCTAGAACTGACCTGAATCTTTGGTGCAGTCTGAAAGCTCTAAGGAACTTCAGACATCACAGTAGCTCATTACACAGACTTATCCTGCCTTGCAATCCAAACAATGGATTGTAATGTGTGCATGTAAACTGTAGCTATACTAAGAGAAAAGGAGGCATTATAATGGCCATACTTGTATTTAAGTAATTCTGGGGTATTCCTTAGTGAACCTGTGTTTAACATACCTGCTGATGTCACCATGGCCTCATAAAACTGAGCTTCACACAAACACACATACACACACATTTAAACAGTGAAACTATAAAAGAAAAAGATAATGTAAAAGTTGTTTCTGCACAAAGAAAATTTATTTTAGAAATAGACGATCACTCAAATGCATGACTGTGTAGGCGTTCATTGGTGAATTTAGACTAAACAGGAAGTGATGTAAATTATAATTATTACACTGCTGGGAGACAAATATATTAAATCCAGACAGCACTAGGACAAAGCACAAGGAACTCATTGTGTTGAAGGAAAGCATGCAACTTTGGTGGGAAGACAATGCACTATATGGTATGAAAATCATCAGTGACCATTTGGGACTAAAATAATATTTTAGGGAGTGTAATTTTGTTCTAGCACTGAAATATTTTTTTTTCTGTTTGATAAAGCCCCAAGGTATTCTAATATTAAACACATTGCTGTTTCCGTGCGTTTAACTATTTCATGCTGTTGTTTTATAGTCGTTAACTTTGAGAGAATAAGGAATAATGAAGCCATCAGTGCTTAGATTAGAAATCTTAGATCTGGTGAAACATCCAGAGCAGTGGTTTTCAATCCTCATGTTGTGATGACCCCCAATTTCATTGTTACAAATTGAACATAATTAAAGCATAGTAACTAATCACAAAAACAATATGTAATTATATATGTGTTTTCCGATGGTCTTAGGCAACCCCTGTGAAAGGGTCGTTCAACACCCAAAGGGGTCGCGACCCACAGGTTGAGAACCGCTGATCCAGAGGAAAGGTGAGGATTGTGGAAGTTACAGGATTATCTAGCACCTATATAATTCCACTTATTGTTGAAATATCCAAGAATCAATTGGTAGAAGACATATTGACAAATATTTATCTTGAGAATAAAATAATGTTGTGCTCTATTCCATGGCATTTGTCTCATTGGTCTATCCTTAGGACAAAACCTCATGTGATGAATTGGAAAAAAAAAAACACACACACACATACAAAGAAACAAGCATGGCCAGCATGGGTCAGTGGTTGAGCATCAACCTATGAACCAGGAGGTCATGGTTCAATTCTCAGTCAGGACACATGCCCTGTTGCAGGCTCAATTCCCCGTAGGGGGCATGCAGGAGGCAGCTGATCAATGATTCTCAGCATTGATGTTTCTCTCTCTCTCCCTCTCCCTTCCTCTCTGAAATCAACAAAAATATATTTAAACAAACAAACAAAAAACAACAACAAAAACCCCATTCAAAACAAAGCTAGAATGCTGGTTTGGCTGCTTGCATGGTTTAAAGAGAACTCTCAGAAAATCAGGCCAAAGACATAAATCGAATGCCCACCTTACCATTTTGTTACAAAGTCATATCCAAAATGAGGTAACTGAATGAATTAGGTTCCACCCTCCAAGTTGCTACCATGCTTCACCAGAGTGTAGAACAGGATAATTTATTGGCCCCTGTCTTAATGGGATATTTCTAAATTAGCAAAGCTAAAGCCTTCACAAATAATTTAGCCAAAATGTGCTGATGGTTTATTGCCTTAATTTCTAAACAATCTTAGAATTTTGTAGTGAATTATTTCTGTTGTCCAGTTGATGCTGATAGCTGTAAAGTGAAGCTCTCATTGGGAGAGAAAAATCACTCCCTGAGGACTCTTTCCTAGAGCTCAAAGCAGCAGATTTGGGAAGTCAAAGCCCCAGTGCACTGATCCTCCCAATTGATTCGAACGTAGTGTGCTCTGATGGGAACGCAGTGTGACCAGCAGCCTCCTGGCTCTCACCGCACAGTGTCTTTGAGTGGAACAGAACAATTTCACAGAACTCATCGCTCATTTGGAAATAGATCTGACCAGCGATTTAGTTAGTCAAAATTAATTTCAATCTCTGATTTTTATGTTATTAAACTACACTCTGGTTTGTGGAGTATGAAATGAAGGATAGTGCTTTGCTTGATTTATTTCTATTAATTTGTACATACACAATCAAAGGTATTTGTTGAAAATTTCTATGATACTTGTTGCCATTAACTGTCTCTTTCACCTTTGACCCTGCTCTCTACTTCCATTATTTTCCATCTCTTAACCCATAGCCATTTCGTGGACACCAATACTTGAACCAGACTGACTAAGAAAGTGGCCTGAACTCAGTGCCTCTCTTTTTCATCTGTAAAATTACCATAATAGCAGAACGTAACTCAAGATTTTTACAATGAAAAATGGGACACATATAATGCTTAGAACACTCTGGAATCTAGGAAGTACTTAAATGTTAGTTATTATCTATCATGTATCACCATTCTCTGTAATTGTTAGTATTTACTACCATATCCTTTGTTAAATGGATTTTCTAGTAGATCTTCAGCTGAAGAACAATCTATAGGAAGATACTTTTTTAAGTGCTTATTTTAGCCAACTACTTAAAATTCTACTCATTAATGGCCTTATTTTCAAAAGCCTCTACAATCCAGTTCTCTTTAAAATTTACAGAAATCACCTGGCCTGGGCATGTGCTTGATGGATAATTCTACATTTAAATGACACATATGAAGAATTATAACTAATGGAGATTCAATTTTAGTCCATGAAAGATGTATTTTTTTTATACCACTTCCTACTTCTGGACCTTTTTTAGGTTTACATTCATTAAAATATTGTTAGGAATCCCTCTTCAGGTACTGGCTGTTATGAAATAAAAATCCAGTTCATTTTTTAATGTAGAGTCTATCTAGTTCTGTGTTTTACATTACTATAGAGAAATGGTAAAACTTCTCATAACAAAGGTTTAATTAGAATGGTTAATAGCTATGATTTCAAAAGTGTCTGAGTCAGCCTTAGTAATAATTAGGGAGTTTTGTTCCATACAAAATGCTTTATTTAACCTTCATGCCTTCATTCAGATAATTATACAAATGCATACAGTTAAAGGTTTAAACTCTATTTCAGTTCACAGCTCAATTCATAGGAAAGTTGAATACAGAAAAGCAATGCACCAACAGAATATGTCTGAGACACCATTAAAAACGATAACACTTGTTCATTTAAATCTCTGAGAATAGACTGGAATAATCATCCTCTGAGAGAATCTCATTAGGAGGGTCTCCCTTTACATTATCATAGGGCCCAAAAGAAAAATCACCATTTTACAGTAAAAGGAAAAAAGCTCTGAGTATATTTACAATACATACACTATACATAAATACAAGAACAACACTCACATAATATTAATAAACTTATAACAGAGTCTGGCTAAACACTACAGAGTATATAAATGCAGAGAAAACTATTGGGAAATTAGATCTGTAGATAAGCTGGAGAAATAAATTCATTTGTAATTAAAACTCTGAACAGAAAACCAAATGAAGATTTGGAAATGAACACACTTGCTTGCCAGCATCATTGAGGGGGTTGGGGGGTTGTCCTCTAGTGGGTATGACCTACTCTGGGCACTCGAACTCACTGGGGTTAGAGACCCAAGAGGCTTTTGTAAAATTACATCCGACACGTGAATCAGATGCAGCACATCTATTCAATTTGCTGTTCAGGGGTTTCAAGCCTAGAATAACTGCTTTGTAGCCTAAAGGATGTTTTTGTATTTTTACACAGATAGGTCCTGTAATCCAATCACCATGTATAATGAGCTCAGTGTTAAGGAAAAGGAAAAAGATGCCTGCTTGATTTGGCCAAAGATGATATTTTTCTTTAATCCCACGTATTTCTTTTTTTCAAAGATGACTGAGAGATTTATTCAAAAGAATATGACTCCCCCCACCCCCCCACACACCAAAAGCAATGTCTAGACTACTACTAATTATAACTAAGTCATTTTAAGTGGCAGGTGGGTATCTTAAAGGTGGTCTGTTCTCATCGTTTCACAACACACAACGTTCTGAGTACATTCTTCTATGGACAAACGTGAATTTGCTGGTTTCTCTTTTTTTGTAAATGAACATGTTATGATACACATAATTGCATTATGATGCAGGATGACATCATACATAAGACGATGTTTTCAAGCTGGTTTTGTAAGTAGTTATCTCAGTTCCACACAGAGTTGGTTTGCCATGTGATGCAATGTGTTTCACAGACATGAACAAAACAATACAGCCACCGTTCCGTGTTGTGGGGGGATGGTGATTTTTAAAAATGAGCTTTCAAACAGAACAAATTGTGGACAGACAAGTTGATAGGAAAGAGCCTTGAATATAGGCACCAGTGCCCCAGTTCAACAATACCCATCCAATGTAATAAAGTTTGAGGAACAAAATAGATACTACAGTCTGGATGTAATTACAAAATTCTGCTATGGGAAAACTAGAAGCACAAGTAGGGCAAAAGCATTTTCTATAATGTTTTATGCAGCATCTTTGGAGCATGAAATTAGCGGAAAGGAAAGACATTGATATGTCCTCAAAGTATCTTACTTTTTGATTACTTGGACACTTTTAGTAGTAGAGTTTGACCCAAATGCTACTCTTCCATTCACCCTCATTTCTCAACCAAAAAATCAATCTCCATAAAAGTCTTGGTAAGCTTGCTTTGGAAAAAGCAAGATATAATAATTCACACAAAGAGTCATTGGCTCTTGCTTTACACAAAGAGCAGACTCCCTTGTCTGAAGGATTTTAAATGTCTAGAGATGAAGTCTAGAATGAAAAAAGTACTATTTCCACCATTCATCTCTTTTTGACTCACTGAAAGGTGTGGTTTTGTTGTTGAGAAATTATTGCTTGTGGAACCCAATTATCTGGGAAGAGAGCCCCCCTCCGAGTGGGGTGTGCACACCAAACACTGACTTTCTGCACAGGAGGGAATTTGTTTATGCAGGTTGATCTCTTCTCTCAGCCAAGTAACAGGGAGAAAGATCATAATTCAGGAGATTCATTTTCAGAAAAAGAAACACCATGAGAAATGACATTCTCTTAATGTTTTCTAAGTCCATTAGTACTTCTATGAATCAATACTGTCAGAGACCTTGTGATACACAGAAAAGGAGGAGGGGATTTCATTTCTCTAATGTTGGATAGCTTCTCACAAAAAATTCAATTAAACTAACAATACGATAAACAAATTATTTCTAAGATTATTTAAAACATTCCCAGGTGGTGCTGTTAGGTGAGAATTCTGAAAAGGAATGATCTGCATCTCTCCTTGCTCATCGCCCGAATGTTTATGATTGCCACCTTATTAACAGCTACTAGGAATGGGCTGTTATTAACAACTAGTTCCATGGAGGTCAACATTCCCAATGCCCCTTAAGCAGCCTCTCTCTGGCAGGGCTGTAGAGGTGTAAAGGCTTTTAGTACATCTAAAGAAATGCACAGAATGGTAAAAAAAAATAAACAAACCCCACTCTGGCTAAAATGCTACAAAGTAGGGGAGAGTTTTGATGATTTTGGATCTTTAGGCCAAACATTTAGGAGGATGGTGATATGAGGGTACTGACAAATTCAGGGAGACGTCTGGTTATTGCAATCTGCATATACTAGAAGACAGATTTCAAATATTCTGTTCCACTGTCATGTGCTATAGCATGTCCCTGTATCTTACTTGGAAAATATGATAACTATGCATTCATAACAAAAGCTACTTAAGAGTTAGATATGGAAAGTTGGCTGCTGGGTACACAGGTGCTAGGTGCTGTGGTGGAAAGAATACGGCCTTCAGAGCCAGAGGCAGGTCGCTTCGCATCCCCACTTTGCCATTTATGATTTCTGTGTTTGAGGACCACACAGCCTCTCTCAGTGCCTCGTTTACCATCCATAAAATCTGAAATTGTTGTACAGATGAGAGGTAATGTGTCTTAAAAAATTAGCTAGTACAGGGCTTGGCACATGTAAGTGTTTAATAAAGAATAGTCGTTGTTTCATAGCTTGCTGACCTTTTGACCTTTCATGTTCTGATAGTACTTTCAGACAACTTCCAGAAAGCAGCCCAGTCAGAAGACTTGATTTCAGTAAGGTTAAGGCTTTCCTTTGACAATTAATTGATTTTCCACCTTCTCCGGGCTCATTTCTTTCTTTCTGAAACTTGGAGGAGGAAGTGGTAGAGGGCTTTCTAGGCCTAGGGTCTGGTTCTGGAGAACACCGGGCATCCGGGTCATTTTCACTGTCTACAGCCTGAGTGTTTAATTACCGTCATGCTTTTAAATTGCTCTTACCAAATGTTTGGCTCTAAAAGAGTATAATTTTACCGATAGCCCTCAATAGCTTGTTTGGGTGGATTTATGCTGAGATGGCAGGGCTGGAGAATTTCCAGGGCTCTTGTCTACCCATATAATTTCATTGTATGTTTCTATTCATAACTCCACTTTTAGCAGTTAAATAACGATAGCTCAATGTTGTGAGGTTCTAAACGTAAATCTGGAAATTTCCAGGACGAACTGCAAACCTTGGCTTAGTTGATGTCAGTTATATCTCAGTAGACATTTTAGGAGATAGATAATTGTGTCAATATTCATTCCAAAAATGGTTCTTCGATGAGAACAGAAAATATCAGGGAAAAGGGAAACAAAGATGGATTTGTGCATTTGATATTAGTAGATAAAGTAAGGCAAACAAATATCTCTAATGTTTTGCTCTAAACAAATTGGCTTCTGTTAAATAAACAAAACTTTTTGAGGCACGCTCAGTGCTTCCTAAATTTGGGGCAAATCATAGTGAAGTTTTTATCTTAAAATTGTAACTGCCATATGCCATAGTGTATGTTGAAGATAGCTTTAATATTCAGGTTTGCATTCTGACGTTCTGTAAGACTGATTTAAGAAATGCCAACATAAACAAGATTGGGTATATATAAGAAGACACAAGAGAATTTTTTTGTGGGTGTGTGAACAGATCCAAATTACTGTGTGCATATATGCATGCATTTCCCAAATGTAGAGGAAAAACCCAGTCTGAAGAAGAATTATTGCTGTGTAAAAGTATAGGAATATCTCATTAGTCATAATGTTTATTGACAGGCACTTTCAGCTTTTAATCACTTCGGAAAATGGGTATTAGCTTATTTCTATTGCCAGTATAGATTCATTTAACATGTGGCCGAATCCATAACACTTAATCTTGTCAAGATGTAGCTACTCCTAAAAAATATACCCTCAGTAATTAAACAAGCATAAACACCAACACCTGTATAGTTTTCATTTTTATCAAGAACTACTTGGTTGAGGAGGAAGATAACAGAGAAAAGAGAACAATGGCTAGATGCTTCTCTTTAGCAGAAGCAAAAAGCTGTGCAACTGTTTCCCCCTTTTCAGGTAAAGACATTTAGAGTTTGGAATCAGTTGTCTGCAACTTAAAATGATTTCAATGTGTTTTAAACAACCCTGGCTGAATTGAGACAAGTGGCCACTCCATTTGTCAGAGCACAAGGGATGTGCTGTGAGAATGTGGAACAGAGTTCCCATGGCAATATCGCTAATCGTATGTAAGATATACAAGGCATATCTGAACAAGTTTTCTTTTTTTTTATTGTGATGAAAACTAGAAGCTCTTTTTCCCAACATACTTCATCAAACTATTTACAACCCCTGTAAAATTTGTGTTTGAAAATACTTTTTCCACTATCACATATGTTTCGAATACAGCAAAATATCTTCACTCTATTTTTTAAAGATGCAGTATCCTCAATTTCATTTTCTTATGAAAATCTGAATTTCTATTGCAATTGCACAGTATTTAGCACACTTAAAGTACCAATGGACATGAGTTGCTAAACAGACATTACTCTATAATGAACCTGTGAAAATATAGCATTTAAAATTTTTATGTACACTTCTTAACTATAAAATGCAGGCCAAGTCATATATAGCATTATAAGCGGATTCCCCATTAAGGTAAATAACTTACATTTGTAGACAGTATGGATTATTACAAATTCATTCTTTTAAAAAAGTCTTCTGTTGATATTTGTGAGCCCACTGGCTGCTGCATATACAGGTGTGAATACAGGTATGCATGTATCAGTGGTGCCTGTGCAGGTAAGTACATGGCAGTGTGAGGATAAGTAGAAATGTAATATGGAAGACATACCTTACCAAACCTCATTTTTAAACAAAACTAAATCAAAGCAAAAGGTTTTTTAAATGAGATAACACTACCTCAGAATAACTGAACAAAGAGATTTGGTCAGTGAAGTTGTAGAATACATTTACTCCTGAAATCTATAGGCATTAGTAAAGACCAAAATCTGAGACTGGATTATGGACTATGAGCATTAAGGCTTCCTGGGCCTATTATGATGCATAAAAGACATGTCCAGTCCCTTATATGAAAGTCATAACTCAATGTATCATTCATGCTGGTATTCTTATCACTGCTGAATTCTGTCAACCCTTACTATCAATGCTAAGACACCTTTATAACAACATTCTGGCCACATTTCTAAGCAGTCATAACAGCATAACAAAGGCGTATTAATACATTTGAAGGCCTCACCTCACCAGATTTATTCAACTGTTGCTTTGGTAAGTATAATAAATAAAGTACAGAATAGGAATACTGCATCTTTATCCATATACATGTTGTCATTCTAATGAACTGATTCCATAAATGTAGAATTATACTTAGGTTTGAAACACAAATGGCAATTCGAAGTTTTAAAAGGTTGTATAAAAATGAACACAGCTTTGTATGAGCTATTCAAAATTTCAACCATCATGAGAATGGCCTTTCTAATCTAGAACTGGCATTGTAAACACTGTAGCTTTTTGTAAGATCCTTTCCTCCCCCAACAATCCTCTTCCTATTTTCCACTTAAACTGTAAAGTGAAAAAAAAAAAAAAAGTGCTCTTTTCCCCCATTGTGGTTTATGTTACTGTTACTCAACTGCTTTTTGGAAATAAATGTCCAATAGTGCTTTGTAAAAGTAATGCCAGGCAGTAGTATGATCTTTACGGTCAAGTCATTAGGAATTTCAGTCTAAATGCCGTAAGAGAATGTAAGTTATCCAGCAGGCTTCTCCGAGTCCGCACACAGTTGACAGGATGGGGCCGGAGGAGGATGGGGAAGTGTGAATCTCTTTCTGACAACTTAAGATCAGAACATGAAGAGGAAATCTATTTAAACCTCAAAGCCTGAACCTTAGTGCTTTTCAAATCATGTGAACTCCCTTGAACTCAGTCTCCACAATGCAGAGAGATAGCCCGGTCTCCTGTAGCTTCTCAAGCCATCACTGGCACCCGTGTGTAAGTTCCCAAACATGCACACATGTCCAGCTGCAAAGTGGCTGACCAGCCTCAAATTTCAGACCAAAGAACACTTCTAGGGAGGGAACATCTGATGGGTCCTTTGGATTCTACTTATTCTATTCGTTATCTACTGTGCTTTTAAATGAGGCTAGAATGGACATAAAACTACGTGGAGGGGGCTATTCTTTGCCTAAAGACATTCCTACTTATAAAGCCAATTCCTTCTCTCCCAAACCACTTTCCTTTCCATGGGGGAACATTTGTAGAAAACTCAAGTAAGTTTGAGTCCTGGGGTGAGAACAGCAACTCATTCACTACTTGTGCTTGGATTCCTCCTTAGAAGTATAGACACGTCAAAGAGGGAATGGTGTTAACACTGACAGGTTTTATCAGTTATCTTACTGTCTCAGTCTGGTTCCCCCTTTCAGAGGATGAGGAGAAAAATGCACTTTCCTGAGTCTTTCCTATGTTATTATAGAGGAGCAGCTCATTTAGTTCTGGGCTAAATTTAAATCAAGCTGCCACTCAGGAAGCTCCCACTGCCTGTCAGTTTCATGAATTCTAAAAACTATTCCTACCTGTAACACCCTCAAGACATCTCTCAGCAGAGAGCAGGATTGGCCCTTCTTATGAGAGGAGTTAGGATGAAATTCAGCCTACACGTCACCTGAGCGATTCACCTACTACCTGCCAACTAGGTTCTGGGACTAGCTGAGAGGGTTCCCCACTCTGTGCTCTTTGCTGCTGACCAATAACCAATGCTGGCATGCCTCAAGCAACCCTTCTCTATTCCAGGTGGTCACAGGCAATGAGAAGTAGCAATTGCATACAGTACAGATAAAAAAATTTTCCAGTTGGTAAAAAAAAAAAAAAAAATCCCAGTGCTTGGTGGGTAGTACTGATCGTGTAGCTAAAGAAGCTATTTGTCAATAGAATTGCAGCCCTTGTTGGAGGGAAATTGCCTGATGAATTTTTCAGACCTGGCAGAAAATGCAGAGCACATATTTCTAAAGACAGAATTTGACCTGAAAATCATTATGCTGTTGCTTGAACATTAAAAAATAATTCCTTTTAATACCATCCAACACAAATTGTCTTTGTTTCAATGTTTATAATCCTTGCTTCATCAGAATAAGATTAACTGAATTAGAAGACGACCCTAAAAATAGGATAATTCTGCAACTGGAAATTATTTCAGAATGTTCAAACAGTTAAAAATGAGCTAGTAATATTGTGAGGTTAATTTGTGCAATTCCAAAAATCAAGTGTTTTTAATGAAAATATATTGCAAAAGTCTATATGCTGGCAACATTTGTATCTAAGCTATAAAAAATCTTAACAACAATAATAACTAAAAACCTCACCAAGCCCCTTAACCACATAAAGCTGAAAAAAACCCAGCTTTTAGTGGGGGGAAAAATATGGTAATTTTTTTGAAAGAATGTTTGTTGATAATGTATTGCTTTGTTTACTGTATACTTTGCTAGATGCCAAAAAGGCTCATAATTTTAGGGGGTTGACAGGACTGTAATTTCCTCTCACCCTCAGCACAGGATGAGTGGGTTCAACATCCCTGCAGGTGCCAATGCAGAACCACCGGGTCCTGACACAGTGTAGAAGAAACGAAGTCTGTATAGAAGAACCCACTGGAGAGTCGCGTAGCCTTGGCTTCAAGTGAGGAAACGAGCACCATGTCAGGCTTTCCTCGGGGAGCACGCCCTTGCTGCTGACTGTGTTCCAAGGGGAGCTGACCCATTAACCCAAGAGTTAACTCCCTGCTATGCCTCCCTGGCCTCGTCACCAAATAACCGTTTTCAAACAAGAGAAGGGGAGCATAATCTTTAATTGTGGTAGTCAACCTCGCAGGACAACAAACAGCAGAAAGATTACCTCAGTGCTGTACATGTAACCAAGACCTCTAAAATGCTGGGGTGTTTTTTACAATCCCTTTAGTAAGTATGAAAATTGGTAACGTGAGTCCTCAGTGAAGTTATTGTAGGAAAGTCCTTTTATTCGTTATTGCTTTTCTCCTCAGGAGGCGCATTATTTCCATCTCTGCTTTGTCTGATTTTTCATGTTCACTGACTTTGCCTGGGCAGCCCCACCTCTCCTCACCTTGGTGCCAGTGTGTCTAAGAAAGTTTTTCCCTCCCCCCTGATTCCTTGTAATCAAATCCTAGGGGCAGGAAGAGATGATGCCTGGGTGACAGAACACTGCAATTTGAAGTGGGGCAGTAGTTTTTTAGACAGGCTCTTCCTATTCAACCACAGAACAGCCCTGTGCCAGTCCATGCCAGGGCAGACACCGGGACCAGACTCCGACTGAAATGTCGCCGCCCCTCTGCGTGAACAGATGAACAAAACAGAATCAAAACAAAACCAAACAAAAAACAAAAACGATCAACAACAAACACATGAAAGACTCAATGTTGGTTTTCTTCAGGGCATGGCATAATGACAAGTCGCGGGCGCTATCTAGCTGCTGCCATCGCTATTGCAAAGGGCTGCCTGAGTGCCCCTTTCTTTTCAGAGGATGGAACCTCTCCAAGAGCTCCTTCTTTCCTACGTCCGTGCTGCTGGCTGGTAACAGATTGGACGGGGGTTCTATCTCACTCAGATGGTAACTGAAATTCCTGTAAAAAGAGGTTAGGGGGCGGGATGATGGGAGAATCATCCCCAATGCGAAAGGTCTCCGCTCTAGGCCATCCATTTGTGGTAGATGACCTTTACAGTATCAATAACAAAATGTCTGACAGCTCAGAAAGTGGACAAGCTACAAACATCGTTCAGGGGCAGAGCGCACAGCACGGAAAACAATGCCCGTCTCTCCCGCATCCGTGTCACCGATCTCCCAGGCCAGCGTGAAGACGGGTCTCGTGGAGTCGCGATGGGGGTTACCTGCAGACGAAAGGAGAAGTGTTCCTTCTTGTTCCTGCTCTGGTTTCAGACATCGTGGGATGGTGATGCCCTTTTGTGTTAACACTGTGGAGGAGTCAGCCC